ACAAAATAAAACAAAACAAAGTCTGTTATCTTAGCAATGAATCGGCCAAACGTCCTGTTTGTCACGCAGGGCCAGATCACAGGCTAGCATTATTGATGGGCCAAAGATTGGGGGTAAGTTTAAAGTTGAATAAACGTATTTCAGATGGTAGAAACCCTAATGTGCCCCCAGCTCAGTGGTGAAGGCTAAATTCCCAGGATGGAGGGCTTTATAACTCCTACTGTGGTTCATGACCATATATAGACCCAACACCAGCCCAGGGCTTCTCTGACGTCATAAAGAAATAGATGACACACAGAATAGGGGGTTCATCTGGTTTAGGAGAGTGAGAGGCAGTGTTTGACTCAAGTTGTTCATGTAAATAGGTCCACCAATTTGTGGTGACTTAATATAAAAAAACATACAATCTGCCATCCTTTTAAGGAGATTCATTCCTTTTTGAAGGAAAAGACCTCAAAGATGATTTCCCTGGAAAAAAAAAAAGTCTCAAAATGTTTTTCAGAGTTAGTCATTCAAAAACTTAGTCTAAATATTCACCCAATGATTTTTAGCCAAAAAATACAAAATAAATAGTCCGGGTCTACCAAAAACAAGCTCCACAAATATCAACCCTATCCTTTACTTGACCGTACAATGTATTTTCGTATCTTGCCAAAAATGCTATCCTGACCAAATACAAATTCATGGACTTAGTTTGTTCTAATCTTATGTTGTTGGAGGGCTTAAAAAAAAGTTCTTTAACCCAAAAGGAGAATTTCAAAACTGCATCTTGAGGACGAACCTAAAATGATGGAAGAGAAAACTAGTGTGGAAAAAAATGTGTCTAGAAATGTAAATAGATGAACAGGCACCTGGCCATGTAGGGAACTCCTCTGGCAGAAAGGGGCCCAGACTGCATGGCTAACTCGCCGTTTCTGATGGAACCTGTATTGGAAAAGCAATACTCATGACCTAGTGCAGCTGCGTAAGCAGTTTGCGCTCACACTTGTTGTTACATAATATTATGATGATGGGACCCTGAGAGGCCCCTACTTCTCATTAGTTCCACGTTCTATTGGGAACCTTGCAGCAGCCTGGATTCTCATTTCTTAAGGTCTATTTTTTCTTTCTAATATACTCAAACTATAAAGACTTCTCAGTACAGTGAGTTTATGGTTGTCCTTAACAACTGAGTAGTAAATTTAGCCTACTAACTTTCTGTATTTTACCTTCATCACAGTAGTTCGCAGTGAATGAAAGTTTATTTGTGCCAGGAGTAGTTCTGAGTTGAGTACATTAGCGTATCTAGCCCTCACTTAATTAATTAATACCACGAATTGGATGCTATTTATTATCCCCTTTAACTGATGTGGAAACCTAGGTAAAGTGTTATGTAACCCTCCAAGTCATACTTTGAGCCCCTATGCTATGTTGCCTTAAACTTTAGATTTTTAAACCTGAAATTATTCCATTAATAAAAAGGAATCATACGAAATGATGTTGCTTAACAGTTCAATTGTATTTTAAATAAAACTTTTTTAGACACTCTCCATGTGCCACGCTTGCTGCAAACACTCTATACAGATAGTAATTCATCGAATCTTCAGTCCAGTCCCCCTAGAGGTAGGGAGCATTATTATTACCATTGTATGGCAAAGGAAACTGAGGCACAGAGAGGCTAAGCAGCTTGCCCGTTGTCACTCAGCTAGTTAGTACAGGGTAGAGTTTTGGGTGGTAGAGGAGGGGCGATGCATATGCCCACGGTTGCAATCACAACCATTTTAGCTTTCTAGTCCTGCTACTGCTATTTTATTTGACTTTGAACAAATTGTCATCTTTCTAATTCTTGGCAATCTCATTTATAAATAGGGGGAAGGAGTCCATGATCTCTAAGATCCCTTCAAATAGTCCTGTTGATTTGGGTACAACAAACCCTGCAAGTCACACAGAGAAGAGCTTTGTTGATGCCAGCTTGAAGACCTAAATGCAAATTCCAGCTCTTAAAGTGGCCGTGCATCCCAATGCTTCTCTACAAGTCTCTAAGCACAGTTTCCGGGACAAGATCTAGCAGGAAGCTAAGATGGCGGAAGATATTCGGATGGTCTCCAGAAATGCCAGTTTCGGTTCTACATTTGCCAGCAGGTCTAGAGAATTCTCAAAACTCTGTATAAATCCTGGCGCTAACATTTATGAGCTGTTTGAACCTGGGCAAGGAGTCCACCATCCTGACCTCAGTGTCTTTCTCTGTAAAATGGGAATAATAATGTTACTTCACCAGAGCTACTGTGAGGAGTAATTGAGATAATACATGCAAAGCATGTAGAACAGAACGTGGCCCACAGGAAGTAGTGAGTAAATGTCTAGCATTAGTATTGAGGATCTCCACTCTTACACAAAGGAGGATTGCAAATGACCATTGTCATCATTGCACAGGGTTCCTTCTGAGGGCTGATGAAAGCCTGGGCGCCTCCCAAGACTTGAAAAACTGAGCTTAGTCTTTTTTATCTTCAGGGGGGAAAAGAAAAGAGCCAGTTAAATTGCTGAATGGTTAAGATAGATGCGATTTAATACTAAGCTAAATTAGTTGGCTGAAATTATTTAATTTCTTTTTAAAAATTTTTCTTAATGTCTATTTTTAAGAGAGAGAGGGAGAGATAGCAGGCTCCAGCCTCTGAGCTGTCAGCACAGAGCCAGATGTAGGGCTCAAACCCACACACAGCTGAAATCATGACCTGAGCTGAAGTGAGACGCTCAACTCAGGCGGCCCTAAAGTTATTTAATTTTGGAGCCTGTGTCCACAAGACCAATATGAGCGACAAGTGTCCATTTAACCTGTTTTATATAACCAGGCAATCAGCATTCTTAAGTCTAGTCAATTGGTTGGACTGAGCTTTCTAAAGTTTGTAAGGGATAAATGTTAATCTGCCCACCTCTGTTTAGTTAAACTAAGAGGCAGTGGCTTTACTATTTGCTAAATGTCTAACAGTACATTTTCTGAGGACTAGAAACAGCATTTCAGAGAACTGGAGCCTGTTTTCCCTTTTTTAAATTTTATTTTTATTTATTTATTTTGAGAGAGAGAGAGAGAAAGAGAGTGAGTGAGCAAGGGAGGGCGGAGCAGAGAGTCCCAAGCAGGTTCCATAATTAGCGTGGAGACAGACTTGAGGCTTGATCTCGAATGGTGAGATCATGACCTGGGCCGAAATCAAGAGTCAGATGCTCAACAGACAGCCCCCCAGGCGTCCCTGTTTTCCCTTTAATATTTTTTTATGTCTTTATTTTATTTTGAGAGACAGAGACAGAGAGCGAACGGAGGAGGAGCAGAGAGAGAGGGAGACACAGAATCTGAAGCAGGCTCCAGGCTCTGGGCTGTCAGCACAGAGCCCAACGCGGGGCTTAAACCCATGGACGGTGAGATCATGACCTGAACCAAAGTCAGCCGCTTAACCGACTGAGCCACCCAGACACCCCCCTGTTTTCCCTTTAAAACAGCCCATCAAACTCTTTCAGTGTATTAAACAATATGCAAGATGATGGAGAAGAGAAACTAGGGAAATTAGAAATCTGGGGGAAGTGTGATAAAGCAATAGAGACCCTTGAAATTTAACACTACCTGGAGGTATCATTATACTTGCTTGTCACTCTTACCAGTGGAAGCTCATGTATGCTATATAGAAGAGCCAAATAAATTAATCCAGAGAGTTTAATGCAGATCCAATCTGGAAATAAATTAGGTCCTTTCAAATTGATTACAGAATGTTACGCTAAATGGTAGTTTATGAAGTATATTCACTTTGCAAAGTTGTATGTACAAATATGATTATATCTGGGACAAAACAAATACCCTGAATTGAAGTAATGCTTCGAGAGCTGAAGGCAATCAGAGAGATTATATCATCCACCAGAAGCCCAGAGGGATTAATGATTTGCCTAAGGTTATACAGATAATAAGTGGATATTCCAGATTTTAGCCAGGCTTTCTTGAGCTCAAGTTGAAGGAAGGGTGCCTCTTCTATAGGATGCATGCAGACAACTTATTATAATGATAATAATAATAACAGGAACAAATTAATGAGTACACACGAATTAGTGAGTCAGGTACTCTGCTCTGTACGTATAACACCTTGTCTCACACTCTCATACTTCTAGATGAGGTATGTCTCATTATCCCCATTTCATAGATTGAATGACTGAGACTCAGTGTTTGTGACTGTGCAAAAAGTTACCCAGCTAGCAAATGCTGAGCGCTGGGGTCTAGTCTCCCTCTTGAATGAGGATTCAAGAATGAGCACTCTTTCCACCGGACCCACTGCTTCAACCAAGGGGACCAAACATGACATCTTTGGCTGTTTTTTCCTTTGAAATCACTATTTTAGGCTCCTACAATGAGGCTACATGGCCTCATTTCCACATGGGCAAAAGAAAGTAATATCATTCTGCAGATTTTCAGCTCCCACATTCAAAGGAAGAGGCCTTGGAATGGTATATTGCCTAATGTTCTTAAAGAGTAACTAGTTGACTCTTAATAAAACCAAGGGTAAACAATCTCCCAAATTATTAAAACATTACTGTTTTAGCCTATGTAGGCCATGGATTCAAGATCATGAACTTAAAATCAAAATCCACAGGGCCACATCCAAGTGGATGAAAAGGGACCATTAAGTCTGGTGCTCTTTAAATTAATACTTTGAGGTAAACTAGAAGGATTATAGAACATTACTATTTATTTAATGTTTCATTCTATTTGAAAGAGAAACTCCCAAATGTTCAATACTACCCTGTATTTAAAAGTTAAAAATATACTGGAAATGGATGGAGTCATGGTAGCACAGAGCACTTTGGGGGCGGACATCTACAATCATAGTATAGTGTCATAGCAAAATATTTCAGATTTTACCAGCTGAACTGTTCAATGGTTGCTGTATTAGAAGCATTAGTTCCAAAGCAAAATGAGGCAATTTTATGGTTAACTGTTTGTTTGGAAACTTCTTTTATTAAAAAAAGATTTTTAATAACGCTATTTGCAACACAGGTGCGGTAATACTCAATAAAGTATCGTGTACTTGATATAGTGAACTTAGGAATGTAACAGTCCATCTAGACGCTGCCCCTCCCCTTCTCCATCAGATACCCTGGTAGCAAAATGTAAATACCCTTTTAAAAAATAAAGAGGCCTTTGGGCTGTTGGAGCAGTGTGGGGTTGGGGCAAGGAAAGTGCTCTCTTCTGACATACTCCTGCTTCTGGCTTTGACTTCCTCTAGAAAGATCAGTTCTCATAGAAAGGACAGTCCCTTCTATGCTCCCCAAAAGCACAGGAGAAAGGAAGCTTGTCATTCACAAGCAGCTATGGACAAAACCAGCAGCAGAGTACAGGGGTACGGACATGAAAGGGGGAGAGAAGTTGGAGTAAAGTGCACAGTTACTGTCAAAAATATATTATTTTGATCCTAAGAAAATTAAGAGAATTTTATCTAATGAACTAGATTGCTGACTTTTTAATACATTTGGTTTTCATGGAACGTACAATCACCATCGGACATAAAAGACTAGTTAGCTTTTTTTTAAAAAAAAATTTTGCTTGGAGTTATCTACAGGAATCTTGTGAACACAATTCAAGGATAACATTCTGCAGCTCTTTGGGTATTGGACGATTTCCTCGGATGAGTCCACAAGGAAAGAGGGAAATGTTAAATTCGCCGATTCAAGTGGGCATTTCCCCAATTTTCTCACTCCTTTCCCCCATCTTGCTCCCGCTTGCCCTAAATGCCAGTACTTTCCAGTTCTCCATCCTCTACCCCTATGGCATGAGACCGGGAAATCATAAAGAGTTTCTCCTTGTTTGTAAACTGCCTCTGCACCGGCTGAGGTGGCTGGGCCTCACATGGCCCTTGGTCGGGATCCTCCGGGGGACTCGGCTCCGCACCCGGGGCCGTGGCGGCCTCACAGTCTGGACTTTTACTGGCTACTGCTTCCACAACTGACTCCAAAGAGGTGCCAGCCTCCCGCAGGGGACTGTAGCCCTTATTGCAGCAGGAAGGGTCATCCGACTGGGAGCTCGGCGAGTCCGGCCTGGCGGGGGGCGAGTCCTCCAGCCGCAGGGGCGGGGACTGGGAGGCGGCTTGGGCTAGAAGGCTCGAGTCCAGCTCCGCGCTGAGCGGGGAGGGTGGGGGCTCCGGGGACGGCGGCGCCCGGTAGTCCGGGAGCCCGCTGGTGCTGCGGCGCCGCAGGGCCGCGTACCTGCCGGTCCTGGGCAGGCGGCCACCCTGCCCCCTGGCGGTGCGCGCCGCCGCCGCCGCCGCGCCCTCGGGCTCCTCCAGCTCGCTCGGCGCCCAACGCGAGCAGCCCGGGGCGCCGCGGAGGTCGGTCAAGCTCAGGTCGAGCTCGCCGCGCGGGATCTCCCAGGAGCCGCGTTCCCCAGGCGGCCTCCGCCAGCTGCAGCTAGCGCCCTCCTCATCCCCGTCCCCGTCCCCGTCCCCGTCGCGGTCCCCTTGCAAGGGTAGCAACGCGAAGGCGCTGAGCGAGGAGCCCACGAGGGAGCTGGCGGTGCTCTGGCGCCCCCAGCTCTCGGGCGGGCTGCAGGGCGCCGGGTGGCTGGCGCTGCTGCTGGCGGCGGCGGCCCGGCGACGGCCAGCCACGCCCGAGCGCTCGCCGTAGATGCTGTACACGGCCTCCGGCAGGCTCGCGGGCTCCCGCGGGCAGCGCGGGGAAGAGGCCAGGTCCGGCGGGGACGCGGCGCCCTTGGCCCCGCCGCCGCCCCCGCCGAGAGCCGCGGCGTGAGGCCACGAGCCCCTGGCCAGCAACGCCGCCGCCCCGAAGGCGTCCCCGGCGCCGCCGCCGCAGCTCCCGGGCTTCAGCTCCAGCCCCCGCGACTGCACGTAGGTGAGGAAGCCGTTGAGTGGCGCGGCTCCGGGGGGCGCCGAGGTGGGCGCGGAGGACGAGGAGGCGGCGGCGGCGGCGGCGGCGGCGGCGGCGGCCGCCAGGTCTTTGGCGCGGAGGCTGTGCACGTCGATGACGGTGGAGTAGAGGTCCCGCAGGTTGATGATCTTGGTCTTCTTGTCTCGGTTCTCGTGGAGCACCGCGTTGGCGCAGATGAAGAGGAAGATGCCTATGCCCATGATGAGGGGCCCGAAGACCTTGAGCTTGTCAGAGTGCAGGTATCCGGAGAAGACGCGGAAGAAGAAACCCACGGACGTGGAGGCGGAGGCGGACGAAGGCGAGGCTGATCGCGCTGGGGGCGTGCTTCGGGGCGCGCCCACCGAACTGGAGTTGACAGCCCCCGAGGCTCCCAGGTGGCTCCTGGACCGGTTTTTGCTCCCACCGCTGCTGCTACTGGCCGCGGTCGGGACGCGGTGGCCGCTGCCTGCGGGCGGCAGCTGCCTACCCCCTTCCCTACTGGCCCCGTTGGCCTTGGGCCAGTAGCCCACCACCGCCATGGCTATGCCCACCAGCAGCACCAGGATCCCGCAGAGGGCGATGAGCCCCGAGATGGAGCACAGCTTTAGCTTGCCTTTCACCACCACCACGTCGTTCTTGCGCCTTTTCTTAGCTTTCCGTTTGCGTTTGGGGACCTGGCTTGGGGGACGGAGGGGATCTTGCTTTCTGGCGGAAATCCTCAGTAGGCCACCGGTGGCGATCATGGTGAGCCGGTGCCGTGCGGGGCAAGTCTCTGGGGCGGAGGCTTGAGTAGTGGGGGGCGCCAACTGCCCACTAACTGCTCCGTCACCTCCTCCTGCTGCAAAGCAGAGGAAGACAGTCAGAGGGTATAGGCTTGGCTGCAGCAACATCCCACGCGCTGCGACTTTCCCGCTCCCAGGTCTCATCACATGTGTACCCCTCAGCCCAGGGCTGTCCACTGACCGGAGCGCGAATGCACAGGCCAGGGGGTGGGGCAGATGGATTAGGGCCCGGAAACGCTGTAGCAATCACTGATAGGAGGTGATAAGACAATTTGAGAGAACGCCTACTCCCCCCCCGCCCTCCCCCCATCCCACACACCCTGTAGGTGATATTCCAGCAACACTCATTTCAAACCCTCCCAGCTGGCAGCTGGAGAGCTGACCATTAGTAGAAACTAGATGCGGGGGCTCAACGAGGTGGTTGAGGACTTTCCTGGCAAAAGCCTTTCCCTTTGTCCTGTGGGAATCGGCAGCTTGCCCAAGGGAGCGGTTCAGGAGGTTCAAGTCTCTAAGCAGAGGAATTTGTCAATGTTTAGTCCAAAGTCACTAAAACAGTCACAGAAGTTACTGTTTTATAAAGACAAAAGCAATTTTCATCACTGCATGAAAATGGAAGGTGACATACTGGTAGGTAGGTGGCTTATATACTGCAGATAATTAATGGAGAGCGCATTGTGGGGAGAACACCAGACCTACGTCAAACCTCTGACAATAAATCCCTTCACAAAGTTGTCTCCTACCTCTTGCTGTTCCCACAGAGAAAGGCAAGCAGCCTTTTCCTCGTTGCTTTTTTTTTTTTTTGCAACATCTGGACAGCTTCTTGGGGTGGAATATTTAGTTTTAGGTAACTGGTTATGTAACTGAGCTCTTCCTTCTGGCCTCCTCTCCTCCCTCAGAGGAACTCCCTTAAAGGTATCATGTGCTAAATCTCATCAGGGAATTTGAAAAGTCCCCTAGAATCTCTAAGAGAAAGATCTTTTTTTTTTCCTCCTATGGGAAAATTATAATCTTAAAAAGAAAAAAAATAGCCACTCTGCCATAATAGCTTTCGGACCTCTTATGAATGTGCCAACAGCACTCTTCTGATTCCCAATATTCAAATGAGTAGGCAATTAACTAGGTATAGCAGTCTCCATAATAACGATGATTTGTAGAGTGACCTCTCCCCAAGTGAGAGCTGTTTTCTTCATCCTTCTCTCATGAGGTCTTGTTTAGGAAGGGAGACGGCAACAATCCATGGTCTATCCTATAGGAAGTTTGGTTGTTTATAATAAAGCCTGGGTAGGTAAATGCACAGATGTGTCCTTGCGGATATCTGTGAGCTTCTAAAAATTTCAATCCTGCTGGATCCCCAGAGTAAAACATTTTCTATTCCATTGGTTGTGCTCCCTCCAGTAACAGAGATGCTAAAATTAAGGGCATTGTATGAATTTGAAAGGCTCAGATATCACTCGCAAGCCTTTTGGTATTTTATCCTTTATGAAATAATTCATGTTTTTGAGTAAATTACCCTTTGAAAATGTGGGATTACTTAGGAAGAATTCTGCTTTTAATTGGAGACTGGGTAAAGAGCTTTGGCCCTTGATCCCCTCCATTACATCAATAGAGGCAGAATCTTTTCTCCACTGGTGGAAAAGCAAATGGTAATCAGCTCTTTACACTGTTTGCAAATCAATGTCTCCTTGGAACCTAGTTGGTTTTCAGTAAAGAGAAATACTAGGTAGGTTAGAGGGGTTCGTAGGGAGAATACATCCAGAAGCCTTTACAATTTTGTTTTAAAAAGAGGCTGCACCAGTTAAGTACAAACAGATTGTAAAAAAAAAAAAAAAGAGTAGCTACTGTTCATCTGTCATCCCCCAAAATAAGCACATTTATTGTGTAGTTGTAACATAGAGACTGCTGTTTTAAGTGATCCCTAGACTATAGCATCTTTAATGCAATAATCTGGAGATCTGCGGTTATTTTAAGGATTTAGGAGCCAGACATTTTAGAAACAAACCTAGACTCAGTTGGCACGGTGGCTCCCGGAGGGGAGAGAAGGGCTAATATTTTGTTGGGCATTGCTAAGGTGCACCAGGATGGTGAGCATCTTTGGGAAAGAAGGTATCCACATGTTTTTCTCCTCAGTAAGGCAGCTTTGGCTTTGGGTAGACAGAATGCAAGGAAAATTGGAATGGATTTCAACAATCGTTTACAGATCTTTAAAATTAGTTTAATAGCTAGTAATTAACTCCCTAGTTTGTTATTCCTCCAGCTCTGTTGAAGGCTGAACTCCATTATAATGTATTGCCATCTGACGCAAAATACTGACAAAAGTCAGATGGCAAGGAAGACCCACCTTTGAGGCTCTTCTTCATACATAATGAAGGGAAACAAACTTAGCAGTTGAGGTTGGCTGCCCTCGCAATTGACTGCCTGGTGCTGGTCTTTCCGTGGTTGAGGAATGGAGGATGGGGGAAAGCAAAGGAGGGATGTCTAAAAATACAACTGCTTCCAAGAGAGACATTCAAGTTCTCGGCTCATGATGGATTAAGCCCCACTAAGCGTCTGAGGCTCCCAGCCCACAGGCTGGGAGCGCCCTGACCTGCCCGGGACTCAGTCCAGGTCCTTGACCCCCACTCCCTTAATTGGCTGGACAGCGAACCCCTCGCCTCGCTTTCTGGTCTGCTTATTTATGTTGGAGTCACAGAGTGCAGCAGCTGGGAGTCCGCCTCTGGAAAGAACAGAGGCAGGAGCGAACTGAGGGCAATCCTGAGCTCGCTTTCTCTGGGCAGCGCATCCCGTGCAGCCCGCCCAGCCCAACGCCTGTCCCCGAACAGCAGCCGCCCGGGGGACTGGGGCTCGGGGCCGCAGGGGAGGCTCGGGGCGGCTCGGGGGGCTGAGGACTCCCGGAATTGCTCAAAATGGCAGCACTATAAGCAAACAATATTGCTCACTTACCCGGGAAGGCTGGGGCAGCTCGGGGCCGGCGAACGGGCGCTCGGGCGACACAAAGGAACCATGGAGAAACTTTTTCAGCCCGAGCCGACGGCGGGGCGCAGGGACAGCGCCTCGGGGCCCTCCAGCCGAGCGCGGCTCAGCAGCCCAGCGGGGGCGAGCGCCCGCCCCGGGTTCGCAGCCCCCCCCGCTGCCGTGGCGGGAGCCATTTCCAAGAGTTTCCAAGAAGTGTCAGGTCCTCCGCAGCCCGCATCCTGCCTCGGAGCCGTGCTCCCGGCCGCCGCTCCTCCCGCGCCCCTCGGCGAGCCCAGCCGCGGCGCTCCCGGGCCGACCCCAGCGCCTCTTTTGTGCGGCTGCGGCGCGCCGGGCTCCGCCGGGTGGAGTTGAGCCCGCGGCGGCGGCGGCTGGCGCGGCTCGGGGCGGCCGGACTGGCGGCTGTTGCTAAGAGACCGGAGCCATGACACAGGGAAATTGCGGCAGGATGGCAGTCGGTACCCGGCCCGACTCCGCTGCTCGGGGGCGCACCCGCCCCCCGCCCCGCCCCCCGCCTCCTCCCCGGCGCTGCCCCCCCTCCCCGCTCGCCGCGCCGCCCTCCCTGCGCTCCTCCTCCCCCCCCCAACTTCCTCCGCAGCCCAGCGCTGGTGCCTTCGGGGGAAGCGCTTCCCGGAGGACCGAAGGCGAGAGGGGAGGCGGCTGGGGGGCCGGCGAGGGGCCCCGGGCGCCGGCAGGGGGGGCGGGGGGGCGCAGGCGGGGAGCGCGCGGCGCCTCGGTTTCGGCCTTCCCCGCCCCCGGGGCGCCCCGGGACCGCCGCCCGCCTGCGCTGGGAGCTTTGTTCTTTTCCCTCCAACTACCTGTCTGAGCAGCGGGCCGGAGGGGGCCCCAAGGAGGTGCCGCGGCCCCCGGAGGGTCTCCCCATCGGCATCCGAGGGGCGCTCCGGGGTGCGAGAGGGGGCACGCCCGCGTCTCAGCCCGCCCGCCCTCCTTCCCTCCCTCTCCCCTCTCTTTTGTTGCCTCTACTCTCGGACACTGCACAGCCTGGGCTGTTTCTCCCCCTCCCGCTTGGGAGTTTGCAGTGTGGACGCACAGCGAGCACAGTAAGTTGTCCCCCAGCGAACTCGGGCCGGCGGAGTGGAGCCGCCCCCGCCGCGCCGGGCGCACCGCGGGCTCCGTGACCGGCCTCCTCGGGACCGCGGCGTCTCCCCGGGACACCGGGCAGCAGCTGGGGCTCCGCGGAGATTAGAGTCGACTCCGGGGCGCTTCCTTGGGCAGCCCGTCCTGCTCCCACCCCGTGCGGTAATCAGCAGGCATTCAAAAGAAAACTATAATTCTCCAGGAATCAGGGTTAGGATCAAAGAGGGGAGGTGGGGGTAGGGAGGATGTCCAAACTCTCCACGTCATTTTAAAAATGCGAGAGGGAGCGAGAGAGCCTGTTTCCTAGCTCGTCGTCCCTGTTCTCCCAACTGTAAAGTAAAAATGACAGGGAAAAGGGAATTTCAAAGTGGAATTTCCCCACGGAGTATTGAAAAAGTAAGAAAGATTTTAATTATCTATTGAAGTGAGGCAGGCAGCATTCAGGGAGAAAGCTGGGGAAGAGCAGAGGAAACAAGGGCTGTCTGAGCTTTGGGGTGGGATTGAGTGGGTATTGGATATACTGAGTTTGGGGATGTAAGGATCCACAGAACCCACACAGGAGGGCTTTGCTGGCCTCGGTTCCGGTGACAAGAGTGTTCCTCCTCACACACACAGCATTCACTTCTGTTTAAAGCTCAACCAGACACTTGCCAAAAAGAACACTAAGGATACAAACACAGAATCAATGATATAAACGTGGACCGTGTTATATGAGGTGGGGATGGAGGGGCTGAAGGGGAAGGGTTTCCTGAAACGCACCCCTGCACCTGCCTGTTTGAAAGGTGACCTCTGACACCCTTTCCAAGAAAATAATGAATCTGGATGATGATCAAAGTGTTCCGAACGCACCTCTTTCCACCTCTCCATTCCTGCTCAGATTTTGAATGCTAGAAAACAAGCCATATAAAGGGAAAGTTTTCATTCCAGATTGGATTGTTTCCTTTTAGAGAAATCACTGCAAAGGAGAAAGAAC